CCTCTCCTCTCTTGTCTCTCCTCTCCTCTCCTATCCTCTCTTGTCTCTCCTCTCCTCTCCTCTCCTCTCTTGTCTCTCCTCTCCTCTCTTGTCTCTCCTCTCTTGTCTCTCCTCTCCTCTCCTATCCTCTCTTGTCTCCTCTCTTGTCTCTCCTCTCCTCTCCTATCCTCTCTTGTCTCTCCTCTCTTGTCTCTCCTCTCTTGTCTCTCCTCTCCTCTCCTATCCTCTCTTGTCTCTCCTCTCTTGTCTCTCCTCTCTTGTCTCTCCTCTCCTCTCCTATCCTCTCTTGTCTATCCTCTCTTGTCTCTCCTCTCCTCTCCTCTCCTATCCTCTCTTGTCTCTCCTCTCTTGTCTCTTCTCTCCTCTCCTATCCTCTCTTGTCTCTCTGCTCCTCTCCTATCCTCTCTTGTCTCTCCTCTCTTGTCTCTCCTCTCTTGTCTCTCCTCTCTTGTCTCTCCTCTCCTCTCCTCTGTCTTCTCTGTCTCATCTTTTCTCGTCTCATCTCTGTCTCTTTTCTTGAAGCAAACATGATTCTTGGATGCCATTTATAAACTAGAAAGTGGAAAAAAACAAGGCACCTCTGGTCCTTTCTTTTCCTTTCCTATAAACTCTGCTTGTGTTGTTTTGAACTGTGCAGCTTTGCAAAGAATCAGGACGATGTTATGGAAAAATTGGACTCTTATTAGTTTGTTCAGGGGAACCGTTTCATGTTTTTGGTGATGAAAATGGCTCATATTTATAAAAAACATTTGTCTGCTGTAATGAAGGGATTACATTGCCTGAAGCATGTGTCACACAGAAAACAAAGCCTTGCATGTTTTTCTAATCATACAGTAAGTGATGCCTCTGTAATCCAGCCTGGAAACTCAAACGTCTTCCTTTTTCAGGAGTAAGTGAGGAGTCTGTTTTGAATTAGTGAGACAGACATCGATATTAATGGGATTTACTCGCTGCAACAGCTGTAATTTTCAAGTTAAAGACCAGACAAGGTAGAGTACGAACTAAATGGAAAGAGAGAATTTTAGAAAAAAACTTGAACCCTGTCTCTGTGAGCTCAAAGGACAGCAGGACAGACGATCAACATTCACCACAACATGCAAATAAAATGAGTTTTATGATCAAACGTACATTAAGGGGCAATAACATTTGATTTGGCTTTCACATCAGTTCCTGCAGATGTTTTTAAAATGGATATCAGACCCTGACATCTTCTCTCTGTGCATACCCAGCTGGTACTCGAGATAAATCCTCCTCCTATAGTGTAAACCATTGTTGACAGTCACACCTAGAGGCTATTGTACACGAGCGTCAAGTGGGCAGCCCGTTGCCGTGTAGGGACCGTGTAGGGGGAGACGCAGAGCCGGACCGAGACAAAGACCTCTGATTGACGTGTGAACAATGGAGCGGGCACACAGCAGCCTCCTGACTGAGGGACCAGAGGGCACAATGGATCCTTTTCTGTAGCGCCAGAGGAGGAAGAGCTAGCATGTTAGCTTAGCTGCCCTGAGAAAGTGTTGTAAACCTGCAGTTTGCATTAGCTCTAGCAAGAAAGAACAAACTTATAGATGGATGTTTAATCTTTGCTGGGCTACTTTTAAATCAGGTTTTAAATTAAACATTTTGACCTCATAAAAAGTCTGTTTTATTAAAACTTTAGAGTGAATTTCTGAGCCATATTTGAACTTTCTCTCCTGTATCTGTTGAATGAATTGAGTTCTGTAATTCACACAAAAAAGATCAAACTGCAATGACTAATTACATCCTTAAAAGTGACATTATGCTATGAGCTATGCTCACCAAAGTGTAGTCCCCTCGTAGTTCGGTTCTTATATTCTACGTCTTAGGAGAGAGAATATTAGAGAAAGAATAGATGTTTGTGAATATTGTAAGAGCGACACCAACACTTGTGATTTCCTTAGACTTAATTAAGCAGATTTGAGCTGTCTGCTATTTGACTTATACACAAAAGATGAAGACCAATGGCTGCACAATCAGCTGCACAATCAGCTTTGTTGTAATGTGCACATGATCTGCTCTTAAGAGGCTTAAACAAGAAAACTTTTTCTAAATCTGGCAGTTACGGGACAAATGATCCTCTGATAAAAACGAGTGATTTTTCACACTGCAGCCTCGACGACTCTGAACACTGACCACACATGTGCATCCCATGGCATTGTCTGAGGTCGTGCCAGTTTGTGCACGGCTTGACACACACGGTATGAATACTTCCACACAGGGATGAGCTAAGTCTAAAAATGTAAGCACATACAGTACAGCTGCGGTAAAGCATTGTTTGTTTCCAGCTTCTGAACATCCTGACGTGCACGTCATCCTGTGAGGTAGCGTTTTCTTCACTCAGCTCTTTATCTCATTGTCACATTTTATTTTCATATTCCTTCCTTTCTTCCCATTTTTCTTACGGCGAGTTCCATTTTATCTCAGATTTTTAAATTCTGAGTTGCCAATCTGATACATCAGGTACGCCTCCCTGAAGTCTGAATTCCAACTTTGAAACTCGGAGAACCTTCAATAGGCCGAGTTAAAATCCAACATGGCTGCTATGTTGCTTGTCGGACTGGCAACAGGAATCCGGTTAACTCTGGTGTGAGGTCATTCCCATCTCCGAGATTCAATTTCCGAGGTAAATTGAACGCACCATAACTTTGTGTGTGTTGTAGTCAAGACCAAACTAATCGAGACCAAGACATACCCGAGACCAGAGTGATCAGAGACAAGGTCAAGACATTTAGGGATCAAGACGGAGACAGAGACCTTCAAAAAGTGGTCAAGACCGGTCTCAAGTACTACAACACTAGTTTGTAGATATGGAAAAATGACCCTACATCATAATTTAATTATTTTTTCCTTGAGCCAACATGCAAGTTTGACGGTGTTATTACTGTTTGTGCTGACACTAAAAAGGTTTATAGGAAACAAGATGATTGACGTAAATGACCAAGGTTTCAACCATTTTAAGCGTCAAGGTTTAGGAAACACTGACACCAAGAAGAGCGTCGAGGACATCTGCCGACAGCCTCGACTTTTGTGTTGTGGTTGAAACTGAAGGCCAAAACATCACACAATGTAGCTTTAAAGTGAAGCTTGAATCAGGATCAGGATCTTGTGGAAGTATCAGAGATCTTGATTGGAGGTTGGTGTGTGATGATGCGCTCTAATAGTGACAGGTGGAGAGCGTCTTCCTCTGTGACACTCAGCATTTTTGATTGCCCGATGGATGTTGAACGTGAGATATGTGTGATTGTGGTTTGTTGTTGTGCTGTGCTGCCATTGATGTAAACTGCTGCTTGTAGACACTTGACGTTCCTAACGGATAATTAAAGTTATTTGAAGTGGATGAGGTTCATGTGGCGATCACAGACTCTTCACTGTTTAGAGCTGTTGTGGAATAATTAGCTTTGGAGCTTGTATGCAGAGCAGCAGCAGCAGAGGTTTGACAGCTGTGAAGAAAGAAACCATTCTTCTGTGGAGAGAAAAACTGGGATCCTGGTTCTCTTTGGAGAGGAAGGAAGTGAGGGAGGGAGGGAGGGAGGGAGAGGGAGACGAATTAAACATAAAAACTCTCTTACTCTTACCAACATACACATTCATTTTCACAGAGCAACATGTAAGCACACACCTTTTCCTGCATGACCACTTATTCATCGCCATGTGACAACCTTTTCCAACATCTCTTTCAATACTTCAGTAAAAAGACATCCGACAGGGACAAAAATACAGCAAACATTTAAAAAAGGGTTTTTCTTTCACTATTTAAAACATCTTAAAAAAAAAAGAATGTGCAACATTTAACACATAAATAAAACAGAAATGAAGTATGTCCTCAGTAAATGTCTCTCTGAGTCATGACTCAGCATAAATATCATTGTATGTTACATTAACACAAAAGTGCGTTAACAAGGAGAGGTACGACTAGATATGACGTGTTTTTATTTAACAAATTATCTATTGACAGAGGAAGTGAAGGTGGGAAATAGTAACATGAAAAACTAGATAGAAACATGAATATCAGGTTAGCTAATAAATAATAATGGCTAATGTTTAACTCGCTGTATAATAGAGTTTGTTGTGATCACACGTTATATTCCATTGTATTCTTAATATTCTTTTCTTTCCATTAAACATTAACTTTTTAGATTTTTAGTTAAGATCATTATTACCCTGTTACTCAGTCTCCTGTCTGATGGATGACCCTGAATGACCTCTAAAAACACTTTTACATCCGGCTACTCGGGCTATATTTTTTTTGGTCTCTTTTTCAAAAAACAGGCCGGATTTGAACCTGTGTTTTTTAGGGATTTTTTAAAACTAGAATATTCTGAACTGAATTTGAACATTTCACAGAACTGACTTATTTACTCATGAGTTGAGTTTGAAGCGAAATGATTAACAGTACTCGTTTTTCTTAACTACCAAACATTTGGGGAGGATTTGTTCCAAGTTTCTGGCAAAAAAAAAAAAGTGAATAAGCAAGTTTTGAAAATGTACGATTATTACATTAAGGAGATTTATTCACATTGTTCTTTGATACAAATAAAAAAATAGATCTTAAATATTGCAAGGTCAACCTGTATCCAGTTGTTTTTGTTTTAATTCCATTAATAAATTCTTGCAAAGCTTTAAAGTTAGAGCTACAGCGATCCTTGTGCCACCTTTTTTTTTTTTTGCAAAATTGGTCGACTTTTTTTTTTGACAATTTTCGAGCTAAAATGCCAACGTTTGCGAGTTTCAAGGCATGAGAAGATTTCCTTTCTCCTTTTTTTGATTGCTCAAACAGACTCTTTGGGGTTTTGGATGGTTGAATAAAAGAAGCTGTTATAAAATCTCACTGTGAGGTCATAGGGTATTGTCTTATTTTAGTGTCGTTTTACCTGCTCAAACAAAGAAAACCAAGAAGCAATGTGAGAAAAAGAATCTCAGTAATCCTCAAAACACAAATTTAGAAATCTCTGTAATATTTAACATTTGATTAAAATCCTATAATGTCTGAAATGTTTGCCCGCAGGTTTGAGAAGGGGAGGATCTACAGCTACATCGGGGAGGTGGTGGTGTCCGTCAATCCTTACCGTGCCATGAACATCTACGGCCGCGACACCATCGAGCAGTACAAGGGCCGCGAGCTGTACGAGAGGCCGCCGCATCTCTTTGCCATCGCTGACGCTGCTTACAAAGCCATGAAGAGGAGGAACAAAGACACCTGTATCGTCATCTCAGGTAACACTGGAGGAAGCCCCCCGCTGCATATACCACTCAAAAAACATGTTTCACCCTCCCGTGCACTGAACAGTTTCAATATATCTGCCAGTTTGCCTCGTGCTTTTGTCTTTAATAGAAAAATAAAGTCCAGCTGTGGTGATCTGTTGTTTCCATTTATGTTTTTAATCCTTTGAGATGTTCTGGAGGGCAGATCCTTCCTCAGAAATACTTTAAAGCTAAAAATAAAAAAACACATTTCATGTGGTTACAAGCTTGTAGCAGCATGGAGAAATCCTGCAGAGAATGCAGCACCACCCGGTGGTCAGAGGCGGTACTGAGCCCGTCCATAACACTGGTGAGAATTCATAGCAAGACTGAAGCAAAGTTTAGTCCAATTATGTGGGGAAAAAAAGAAATATCCGTGCAGTAGCAGATATTTCTGCGTAATCAGGGTTATTTTTTTCAAAAGGGAAAAAAAAATCAACAGAAAATCACAAGATGAGGCTTCAGTTTCGGATCTTATCTCACAGTTTGGTGTCCATAAAAAATACCAGTAATAACTTTTTTTTAATTTTTATGTTCACTTTTTAGATAAGCTGAACGTGTAGCTGAATGTGTAGGGGTTCCTTTAGAGTTCAAGGAGTCCCCTGCAAATAATATTCACTTTGGTTTCACTCATTAATCATACAGGTCACAATGTAGTCTATATCAGTGGTTCTCAACTGAAGGGTTGGGACCCCGAAGTGGGTCGCTGAGCAGCTTTCTGTGGGTTGCGATTGTGCGTCTGGAAAAGAAAATAGTTTCACAAATTTTCCATCCTCAGTCACATGTTTTCTACCAACTGCAAAACGTTTCATTAAATAAATCTGATTGGTTGATAAATATCTGAAATTTGGGTCGTGATTGTTCATGAAGGAGTCGGTGGAGAACCACTGGTCTATATAGTACACTCTACTTATTATAAACAAACACCTTAAAGTGAAAATGTTATCTTTTTAAATTTGATGTAAGGGGGGTTCATGTTCTTCTTTTTATCAGTTTAGGGGTCTTTAATGTCCAAAAGATTTGAGAGAAACTGAATTAAAATCACTTGAGGTTCTCTTAATATGCAATAAAATAAATATATAAATAAATAAACCTTTGCTTTCATTTCAGGGGAAAGCGGAGCAGGAAAAACCGAAGCCAGCAAGTACATCATGCAATACATTGCTGCTATCACCAATCCCAATCAGAGGGCCGAGGTCGAAAGGTGAGCGGCTTTTTTTTACGACCTGAAACACTGTGGAACATGTAAACACGCTCAGTGTGGTGACTAAACACCAACCACTGTCAGATAGGGAGGGGTATGTGGAATACTTTTGTTATGATTCACAGCAAAAACATTTCACAGGAAAATGTTTATATTTTGAGTGTAGTCACCCTGTCAAATAAAACACCCAGATTCAGAAAGTGATTGTGCACAGCGTATCCTTTTTGTCTCCCCACATTAAAGAGGACATATTATCCCCCTTCTCCACCTTTTCAAACAGTCCCCCTGTGGTCTAAATGAAACATCTGTGCTGTGCTTTGGTCAAAATCTAACATGAATCAAGCACCAGAGGAGGTTTGTGACCCTGTATAAACCAGCTCTCTCAGAACGCTTTGTTTTGGTGTGTGTGTCTCTTTAAATGCAATGAGCCCCCCCCCCCCCCCCGAGTTTACCTGGTAGACATCACTCCTCTGTAGAGAGAATAAAAATGGCCAACCTGAGCAAAAGTTTTGTTCTAGTCTGGGGGTGGAGTCCATGGGTGGAGATATCAGGGGAGGGGAGGGGATTTATTTGACCAGAATCCCACTGTGACATCACAAGGAGAGCACATTTGAAACGGAGCATTTTTCTCTGTGTTGTAAGACTTATGCAGACCACAAACAAAGGACTGGATTGCATTATTTTTACATTTTGTGGGTCAGTAGACATTCAAACACTGTCAGATAGGGAGCGGTATGTGTTATATACCCAAATATATTACCCAAATATATGTTAAAAAAAACTGTAAAAGCAGATTCTTCGTAATATGTCCCCTTTAAAATATTATTTCATTGTCTTCCATGAAACACGCTGCGAGAACTTCACGGCTCACTCGTGTTTATAGACTTTTAGACTTTGAAGCAATATATTAACAGGTCGTCACCTTTATTATCTTATCACGGCTCCTCTACTTAGATATAAGTCACCTATTTATTAGTAGTCATCACTCCCTGTAATAAAGTCTCTTAGATCATATTTAGATATTCAGTACTTACATCTGGAAGCTTAAGACTGCAGCTCTGATACCGTTAAAACAGTCGACACCCTCCGTCTAGATGATAGACGGCAGCGTAATACAGATTTACATAACACATTAAAGTGTCAGCCAGATCCATGATCAGGAGAAACCAAGAGATAAGCCTCGACTCAAAGGTCACAGCATGTAGGTCAGAGATTAAGACGTGATTTGTGCAGTGAAAAGGTTTGTAGGTCGACTTCAGTCAGTCACAGACAAACAGCTGGAAATACATGCAAACACATTTAGAAACATCTGGATACACATCGACTGCCTCTGCTCTTATAAGATGCAAATATATGAATCGACACCGCGGTGAGGATGTAGTAGAACAGGAAATATTTACAAGTCGCTGATTAATGCTTTGATGTGTTTATCAGCTCTTTGCTAATAATGATGTCAACCGAGATCGATCGATAAGAAGGAGGAGTTAAGTATCATAAAAGAAGAGTGACGCGCTGGAGAGGTTTGATGAATGACAGCGCTCAGCAGTACCTTGTCGGCCCATCTCAGATTAGATGAGATACATTATTTACATGTCAACTATATGTTTAAGAATTTACCTCAGTGAAACTCCTGAAGACACACAAGTGAAGAAGAGCCAAAGGGATAAGAGCAGGAAATACCAGGAAGTTACAAGACAGAAAGGACAAAAACTTTAACCAACAATTCACTTCGCAGACGCTTTTATCCAAAGTGACGTACATCAGAGAGTAAGAACAACACAAGCAAGGATCTAGAGAGGAGGAAAAAACATCAGGAAGTGGAAAAAAATCAGTTTTAAGTCCGATTGGACACACAGGTGCTGACAGGAAGTGACCAGAGGCAAATCACAACATTGACAGCAGTTCTTAATCAGCATAGAAACCGTCTTAAAATCAGCGTTATCAAACAAAACCATAGCCTCTTTGTTTTTTCTAAGATTCATTTTTCTAGTGTTGTGTTAGGAGTCTGTAGTCTTCCAAGTGGGGGGACCCGGGTTCAAATCCGACCTGTGGCTCCTTTCTCGCATGTGATTGCTCACTCTCTCCCTCTATCCCTGATTTCTGACTCGATCCACTGTCTTATCTCTAAAATACAGACGTTCAAAGCCCAAAAATAAACCTTTATTAATTATTAATTTATCTAGATAGGACAGAGTAGAAGATCAGGAGAGAGAGATCACATGCAGGAAAGGAGCCACAGGTCTGACTTGACCACAGCCTCTGCACACGGGGCTCGACCTCACCCCTCAGCCCTTACTTTGTTTACATCCTAACCTGTTACACATCCTGCCTCCCCTCACAGGGTGAAAAACATGCTGCTTAAATCCAACTGTGTCCTGGAGGCCTTCGGGAACGCCAAGACCAACCGCAACGACAACTCCAGCCGCTTCGGCAAATACATGGACATCAACTTTGACTTTAAGGGAGATCCCATCGGAGGCCACATCAACAACTACCTCCTGGAAAAGGTAAAGACGCAGCCAGTTACTGATGTAGTCGCACCAATGCTGCTGAGAGCAAATGTTCTTTTACTCTTCTAGTCAATAAACACTGCAGATGTTATTGTACCTGAAGTATGTCTTATCTTTTTCTAGTCCTTTCCTAGTTGATATTTTGAATTATTTAAAAGGTTGTTTCAGCCACTCATCTGCTCACAATGTGCTCCAAGTTTTAATCAGCATTTAATCAGATAAGTGGCTCCCAATCTGTGGGACAGATTTCCATGGAAGTTGCAGAAATCAATTCAACTTAATGGTTGCACGATGCAGAAAGAGAGACTGCAGAACTGTCTCTGTTGTAAAGATGGTTTTTGTTTTTACTTCCTGTATTTATGGCCTTTTTCTTGAGAAAACTGTGTCACCCCTTTTTGTTGTTCTGACCTTTTGTTTTCCCTCGAACAGTCCAGGGTGATTTTCCAACAGCCAGGAGAGAGGAGCTTTCATTCCTACTACCAGGTAAATATGTCACTGTGTGTGTGCACCTGTGTGTTTGCATACAAAGACAAAGTATACTCAGAGTGTGTGCATGCATGCAAGCGTTGAATATGAATGAGCCAGATGCTGTTTCTATATGAGCTGTGTTGTTTTTCTCACTGCTCAAGCTGCAGTATGCACATTATATATGACCTAACATGTCAGAAATTACAGTTTACACCGCGTCTGGTAGTGTGTGCTGTAGACCGATAATAGCCTGTATAATGATAGGAAAACACAACAACAGTTACCAATGTGTGCCTACTTTTGTTTTCCCAAATAAACAAAGTTCTTTAGTGTTTTTTTTCTTTGCATTGAACGAGGCAGGCTAGGGATTGCGTGCAAGCTGTCTCAACTCAATTCAATCAGGAGAGACTTCATTAAGAGTGAGGTGAAGGTCGGAGGTCGGAGCGGGCCATGCATGCATGAGAACCGGAGTAACATTTGTGTGTTTCTCTTCCTCCCACCAGCTGCTGAGAGGAGCTCCGGACTCTCTGCTGCGCTCTCTTCACATCCAGAAGGACCCGACGGCTTACAACTACATCAAAGTCGGAGGCCAAATTAAGGTAGCCTCAACAATTTACAGACAAGTCACCTTTACATACACACAATAACCTCACAATAAAACAAAAAAGAATGAGGCAGAGGGAGCAGAAGTCAGAGAAAGTGTCAGTGTGTTTGCAGACGGGTAAATACGAGTGATGCCTCACAGATTAAAAATAAAAGTTTTTAAACAAACCGCACACATCACAGTTTTTTATTTTAAGCGCTGAGTGTCACATGCAGAAGACGTGTTTTTAATGATAATGTACACATGAGTGCTGTGTGTCTGAGTTGTTTTCTAAACACACCTCTGCTGTGCATCGCCGCCCTTACACAAGCTTAACGAGCGGGGAACAAAACCGCTTGACAGCAACAAACAGTCTGATGTCATGGAGCACAGTGCAAACAAACAGCTGAGGCAGCGGTTTGTGTTCTGTTTGCCTCAGCGGCTCTCTATTTTTACATCCAGACATTACAGTCCGACAGCAGTTTGTAATTTAATCAACTGTGGGAATATGATATCCAGGTTGGAGTGAGTGGAAGAGGCTTTGAATTCAGGAAAAACAACCCATTAAACACACAATTTTGTTTTCACTTCTGCAGAATTTTGCAATTACAGGAAAACAAGTTGTTAAAAAAAAAGCTGGCTAAACGTTCCTCTGAGTCATCCTGTAAACTTGTTTTTTATTCTTGCAACTTGTTCCTCCGTTCCCTCTCCAGTCTTCCATCAACGACGGAGCAGAATTCAAAGCTGTAGCAGATGCCATGAAAGTGATCGGCTTCACGGCGGACGAGATTCAGACTGTTTACAAGATCCTGGCCACCATCCTGCATCTGGTAATACTCCATAATATAAAAATCCCTGCTTATCTCCCGCACCAGCTGGGACCCAACTGTGAACGCTCTGAGTGTAGATGTTGGATAAATGAGTGCCATGTTGGATAGAGTGGAGAAGCATCCTAGCAAGGACAATGCGTGTTGGGTTCATCTTTATTTGATCTTTTCTGCTGTTTGCTGAAACACTCAAGTCCAAAATAAAAGCCATGTTCGCCTCATGAAACACAGACTGCCCCCTAACCCATTTAACCCAAACAAAAATATAATTAAACCCATGCAAACATTGGAATTAAGCCTGTGGTCAAATTGAAATTGAATCCTTACTAAAGTTTAAATAAAACACACCCATCTAACAGTAAATAAATACTCTAGAACCGAACCCTCTGGTGGCCCTCTTTGGTACTACAGGAGACGATGACGCACGCCTGACGCTGCACTCTGTCCTTTGCCTCTCTCATGGCCAGGCGTGCAGTACTTCTTCTAAGATTGAGTGATTCTGCCCCACCCCCCAATCTCTGTGATGAACTGTTTTAATCGTACATTTTAAATTTTACAAATTGGATGCTCATTTTTTGTAACTTGCCTACATTAGATTTTTCTTTACAGTATTGAACTTTATTTTAAATGATCTCCATTTCTTTTCTTTTCTTCTCTCGTTTCATCGTATACAACCTGGATTCTGGCCCCTTCTTGTGTCTGAACTCCAGGATTTAGTATTAACGCAAAGTCATATGAAGCTCCGGCTGGTAAATGGGGACTGAAGAGGAAACTTGTATCGTTTGTTAATTTCAGAGACTCACCTTACATCTCAATATTCTGGGTACATTAATTAAAAATATTCTTGAGGAAACAAATACTGGAACTAGGAAGAGCCAGGAATATGGAAAGCCATGCTAGCTTTATTTTTTTGGGAACAGACTCCCAGTGTGACTGAAATTAGCAAGGAGAGGTAAATAAATCGATCCTCTTCCGCCTGTCTTGCAGGGAAACCTGACGTTCGGGGTTGACGGTGACGTGACGCTGATAGAGAACCCGAAGCTGGTGTCTGTGATCAGAGATCTGCTGTCCACCAAAGAGGAAAACGTGGAGAAGGCCATGCTGTACCGAACTGTGGCCACGGGGAGAGACATCATCGAAAAACAGCACACGACGCAAGAGGCCAGCTACGGGCGGGACGCTCTAGCAAAGGTATTTACTCTCTCTCTTTGTCCCTTATTGAGGGAATGTGACTTGGTCTTACGAGCTGCAAAACAAAAAAACCTGAAATAACTTCAACTTCTGTTACCCTGGACAGTTGTGACATTCTGTTAAGTGCTTGGCAAATTTGTGCTGCAATTCACACGAGCGTGAGTCACAATGTTATGACTGCAGACGGAGGCTGGAGACGGCAGGGGAAGAAATGCATGTGGGCAGATTGAGGACCAGCACTGCAGTCTGACTCACCGTTTGTGTGACATTTCTCTCTCAGCCACCATCTGTAACCCCGCTCATTGTCTGTGTGCTGGCCCGCTCTGTGCCGCTGACGGAGGCAATTGGTCACCAGTTGAATGTGCTTGACTTATCATCTTTACTCTGCGTGTGTCAGAAGGAAGATATTTGGATAAATTTGGTTATGGCCCACGAGTAAATTATACACTTTGCCGGGTTTAAGTCTTGAACAAAATACATACATATGATCAGAGCTCCTGCTATTTATGTTTAGGGTTAGGTCTAGTCCACATGTAGGAACTGAGGTTCTCAAAAACATCTTCATCCACATGAAAACTCAAAACGCAGAACGCACGGCTGTCATGAGTGCTCCAAGTCAAAAACGATGTCAATGCAATGACCATTTCATTTTTACAAAGTTCTCCATTCAGGCGCCTCTGCTCGTCAACATAGTGGGAGCACAAATCAAATACCTACTAACTTAATGATGATGGTCTCCATATTATTGATGATGATGATGGTAATGACGATGGTTTTTGTTTGATAACGACGACTTATAAGATGGTTTCTATTCTGATTAGAGCTCTCAAGAACTGCCCTCAATGTTGTGCTTTGCCTCTGGTCACTTCCTGTCAGCACCTGTGTGTCCAATCAGACTCAAAGCTGATCGTTTGCTCTTACTGACATTGTTCCCTTTTTTCTAGATCCTTGCTTGTGTTGTACTTACTCTCTGATGTACGTCACTTTGGATAAAAGCATCTGCTAAGTGAATTGTAGAATTGTAGCAATCTGTGGCAGTACTTTTTTTGGCCACTTGAGGGCAGCAGAAACAAGCTGTAAACATGAGACTGACCTTTCATCACAGATGCTGCAGTGTAGGAGAAGTGGATGTTCTCCAGGTTAGAAGAAGTGAAGCTATTCTCGGTGTGCCTTTACCTTGCAGTTTGTTTTTGGCCAGCAGGGGGCAAATCTGCTGCTTGAAATAATACTAATGGTTGTACAGAAGTCTAAAAGAAACAATGCTTCTTCTTACTTGATTTAATACCTCAATAAAGATATTTTTCTTCATGGAGTCAGCCATGAGATTTTAAGTCGTTTTCAACACAGCATAATGTTCATTTTGTGAATTATGTGCCACATCAAAGTAAAATAGGGGATCTACCATAGACTGTAAATATTAAAGGATGAAGCCTGAGTGAAGTCAGCCATCTGTTCCTGCAGGGGGCTCCGGATGCACTTGCTTAATTTTTCAAGACCAGAGGTTGCCGCTTGGTATCTACCCCCGTCCAAATATGTTTCCCCTCTGGCTCCAAACCCCCAAAAAAACCCAAGATGGACAAATGTAGAACTCCAAAGCAAGAGAGCCCTCATGGTGGCTACATTAACTTCATATACAGTCTATGATTTCACTCTTTTGAAAACAATTCTTTTTGTGCACCCTCAGGCCATGTACGAGCGTCTCTTCTGCTGGATCGTGGGACGGATCAACGATATCATCGAGGTGAAAAACTACGACGCCAGAATCCACGGGAAGAACACGGTTATCGGGGTGCTGGACATCTACGGCTTTGAGATTTTCCAGAACAACAGGTTTGGACGATTACAGAAAATTCCGCTTATTATCACAAAACAACAAAAACGATTTAATCTAAACATAAAACAATGAATAATGATTGTCTATATTTAATATTTATTTGGTTTAACACACAGCAAGGATAATGCAGCAATGTGTACAATAACTAATAGAGAGTTAGTTGCATGCACAAAAACTCACTTTTCATTTCTTGTGGTGCAGCTTTGAACAATTCTGCATCAACTACTGTAACGAGAAGCTGCAGCAGCTTTTCATCCAGCTGGTGCTGAAGCAGGAACAGGAAGAGTATCAACGAGAGGGAATCCCCTGGAAACATGTAAGGAGCACATTTTTTGGTTCCTACTCTTGTTTTGTTCTTATTTTATTCTCCTGTGGGGCTGTCCTCTTTTTATCCTCTGTGTCCTGTGTTGTTAGATCGATTACTTCAACAACCAGATCATTGTGGATCTAGTGGAGCAGCAGCACAAGGGGATCTTCTCCGTGCTGGACGAAGCCTGCATGAATGTGGGCAAAGTGACGGATGAAGTGTTCCTGCAGGGACTCAACGGCAAGCTGGCCAAACACGCCCACTACACCAGCCGCAAGGTAGGAAACACTGAAGAGTACACGTCTTGTTATTTTGACTTCAAGTTCAATTTAAGGTTTGCTTGATGAAGGTCTGGTAACGACACGTTGCCAATAAATGTTTGTTTGCAAGTGAGAGCCATTTTCTGCTCGCAAAAATCTTTGAACCCCAACGCATGATGGTATATATTGCTCGGTAAATGGACTTGAGCTTGAAGAGCGCTTTTTTAGTCTTCTGACTACTCAAATCGCTTTTACACCGTATGTCACACCTACACATTCACACACTGATGGTAGAGGCTGCTGAGTAAAGTGTTCATCAGAAGTGACTAAACCGATTCATGTAAATGTACCTGAAATGAGCGTGATCTAGAAACACAGTTAAGCAGTGAGTACAGTATGTTATTCTTCTTTTCTCTAGTCCCTCAATTAAACAACTTTTATACGCGAGGGGAGGAGTCAGCCGGCCGTCCTGGCGTTGTAAACAAACTGAAGATAGGACTCTGAAAACTCTGAAAACATCACAGACAGTGGGACTCGGGTGTTACACCCATTGTAGACAGTCATGACTCACACAGTTATTTTCAGAGGATATACTTGATTTCTACAATTAAGTGTGAAAAATCACATTTAAAAACTTTAAATTTCCCATGAGAGCCTGAAAAGTGTGTGAAGTCCTGCATTACAAAATTACTCACTTGCACTAGTCCATCGAGGTTGTACACTTCTTTCCACAATGCATTGTGGGATACAATGAGTGGACTATATAGGGTATGATTATGCTCACTCAGAATTCAGACACTACCACAAAATGGCATGTTCACTTTATAACTAATAGTGAGTGAATTCTGACACAGCCTATGTGTCCGTAAGCCTGAGTGGAATGCAGATTTTCTGGTGCATGAATGTTGTTTTTATGGTTTCACACATATTTTGCGAGCATGATAAAAATAAGTAAACACGAAGAAGAACTGTGAGCCTTTAACTATAAGCATCTAGCTGTATATCAGGATGGTCAGGAGGTGATGCAGGAAGTTGTTTTAGTAACCTGAGAACAGCAGAGGGCAGATTTCACTGTGCAGTGATCACCATTAGACACGGAGCGAGGCGAGTGAACATGATCCTGTTAGTTTTTAAAATCAGGATGGATCACAGGCTAATTCACTTTAATGTCGTGTACGGCCAGACGGACATAAGCCAATTTACTCCGCTAACATCCAGCGCGCTGTCTGCTTGGGATCGGGTGACTGGGATGAGGTGGAAGTCGCTCATCAAACACTGAACCGGAGTCGGTTTCTCTGCAGATCTAAAAGCCTGATAAGTGGTACTTTAACTACAGCTGTGTGTGTTTTTGAGTGCAGTTCTCTCTGCGAACACAAGGTGGCATCAGCCGTCCTGTAGAGCGTGTTCGAGTCTGACTCGACACTTTGCAAAAGTGATGTCACTGCCAGCCAATGGGAGAGTATGGAGCTGCTGCTCTGCTGTGTTAGAACGGGTGTTGGAGGTAGAAGGAGGCGAGAGAGGGGATGTTTTCTTTACAAATTTATGAGGAGAAGTGGACAAAAAAAAAAGATAGAGGGTGAGCTGGTGATGCAGTGGGAAATGGAGGGTAAGCATCATCATCATGTACATTTCAAACACTCAAAGCAACAGGCTGCAGGCACCTCTATAAGAAAGCCTATTCAGACGCCTCCTGGCAACTTCACGTTCCCATGCAAAGGCAGAATATTGAGCCAACCCGACGGGCCCTGCACACACTGATGCTCCTTAAAGCGAGTCGAGCACACAATAAAGAGGGAGCTGTGAGTACAGAGGAAGAGCCAAGACGGGGTAAAGATTGTGCAGTGCTGCAGGGTGTATTGATTCATGAGACTTCCCTTCAATCTTGGAGTCAATCTGCTCCCTGCTGTCGCCCTTCTGCTGCTGCTCTTTGACCTCCTCCTCCTCCTCATCCTCCTGCAGCACGGCTTGAAAAGAAAGCTTTAAAAACATGCACTGATCCAGCTGTTACTGCCTGGAACAAATACTGGTATGAATCAATATTATCTGGATCTTTCTTCCTGTTACTGTCTGGAGTCCTGTTGCTAGGTAACATTAACATAATGGACTTCTATCAGGAAGTAGTCTAAATTGTTGGGGGCCTTAGTGGGTCTCTAGAGCGCTTTTAAGGGGAAATAGACAGCCTTGTGTGGCCATTAAAGTTAACAATCTTGTGAGTTAACCTGCCCTTGGTGCATGAGAGACGAGGCATTTATAAAATAAAAAAAAAGTATGATGTTAATGTTCAGGAATAATCCTCTGTGCGGCTCTATGGGGTCAAAGAGATTTGCCTTACACCATTTTAAAGTCATTAGCAGCACCAAATAAACGTCAGCGCTTGTTTTAACACATAACAATGCAGCTTTTAGCACATTTAGGGACATGAGGTTGTTTGTGATTGCACAGTAATTTGGAATTTGAAAAAATCGAAGTCTCCCATTCAAGATTTGGATATTTCAAAATAACTGTGTTTTACTACGTTGTGTATCAGACGCATTTAAACGCTTATATCAGCATCGAGAACATTTATCAAAGGTTACATCCTGGTCACATGAAGTGTTAAACATACAGAGTTAGCCTTGGCATAAATTAACCCTTTAACAAACTGATTCTTAAGTTAACTGATGTGTAGGAGACACTCAAATCATCCTTTTTTTATTTCTTACTGCAGTAAAACAGCAATTTTCTCAATCAGTCCCATGTTTTTTTCTCAACTAGATGAGAAGATGTTCTTGGTTTACATCATGAGAAACATGAAATATGAAAGAGGAGAACACGTTTATAGTTATTTCTCCTCCTGGTGCCACAGATCGCAGCTTGGATTAATAAAGGGAACACGACACCGACACACGAGTCGACACTGAAGCTTTGTTAGTCGCTTTATTTCATCCTGTTCACTCCTGTGTTTGAGCAACACAAAAACAAGATCATGATGTTTTTTATCGCCTCTTAACCTCTGCCCGTTAGTGCTCATTAAAATAACTGATTGTAAAGCTCATTAATGTTTTTTATATTATTAGACATTCATTAAAACGTTTTACATAAACGGCCATTTCTAATTGGATTTCATGTTTTCAGCGCCACTTAGTGGTTACAGTAAAACTTGCAGTCTTTTAATGTTCTTGCTGTCCTGGATATTAAATATTAGTTTTAACTTTAAAGACAACATGCAAGAACAAATTACATTCACTACCTTATTTTAAACAATACAGGCAAGGAAAATAAAAAAAACCTGCATCCATGATGTTAAAATAAGCACTTAGGGTAAAAGGATGGTGAGGGAGGAGATAAACAAACAATCAGGGGAGGGAAGAAGAATATTATAATGCAGGCAGTAGTAAGAGTCTTTCCGCTTGATTAAGGGTTGAATATAAGTTAAGTACGCTCCTCTTAAGGAATATCTGTCTAAAAAAGTCCATAGAGGCCTCTTTGCAGAGTCTGTGCTTTCTCTACTTTGTCTTTTTCTTACTCTTTCCTCATATTTTATAGAATCATGAGGGTTTGTCCTCGAGCCAGTAGGTCATGGCCTCCAGGGGTTTGAGTTCTGTTTTTACTTTGTTACCACATTGAGAGCTGAGGAGGTTTGTCAGAGATTCACTGGAGTAAGATGCACCTTCTGGCACCAAACAAAAAGGACATCAAGGAGTTTCAACATGTTGGGTTTGAGGTTAGGGTGCAGAATGTAAACAAAGAAAACAAGATACAGGCGTAAGATCTGAGTTTTTAGCATAGTAAAGATTAAATGTACCTTTTTTTGTGTTTTAAACTTAGTGCATGCTTCATGTTGTGTCGATGTGAATTCTTTGTGCAAAGCAAAGCATGCTGCATTAAAATGTGGTTGCCCTGTTGCACACACAAAATCTGAAACCAGCCATAGTTTAAAATGCAGAACAGGAGACGTGCAATCACTTCACAGGTGTAGAGTTTATATCTTTAAAAGAGTAAAAATAGCTTTTACAGTTTTGTTTTTATCACTGTCGATGTGATTTTCAGTACATTTCTTTATCTGCAGGAGTGGAGTACAACCTCAAGGTCGCGGAATTACTCCCAGCTTAATGAAAAGAGACAATGTGTAAATGTGACCTAAAATAGACGACCTAACCTGCACTCGCGATGCAAATGAGCTCTGTGGAAAGTTCAGAGAAAATGTTACAAAGAAGTGCACACTACAGGAGCTCTGCAAACTTTAAACACGCAGCGCTGCTCTCCGGTGCCACCGCTCACTTCTCTTCACGTCTGTCTGCCAGGACGAGAGTGTGAAGGTGGAGAGAAGAGACAGAGTGTGAGAGGGAGGAAGAGAGGTGTGCAGGGAGAGACAGGGGATTAAGTGTGAGAGGTAGTCAGATATGCATGTCAAGGGAAAGGACGGGAAAAGAGAATTAAAAAAAACAGCCTTAGAAAATACACACAGTGTTGTTAAATGCAACATCTTTATAAATGTTTGAATCTATATTTCTGTATTAACTAGGCCTGGGAATCACCTGAGGCCTCATGATACGACATATCACAATACTTGAGTCACAATTTGATATTATTGCGATTTTAAACATTTTGTTATATGCTGGGAATTGCGATACAATATATTGTAGTTTCACTTTTTTTAACTGCAAATTATACACCCACCCCCTCCCCTTGTAGTGAGGTTTCTGTGTGAAAATGTCAGGTACAGTTAAAGAGATAATTTAGCAGCATGTGTTTCTTTATAAACAACTCAAGTGTGGCAGCTTGATGAAGAAAATCTCATCACATGGTCCAAATCGCAGAGTCGATTTTTAAGCCCTGCCAGCACCCGTCTCTCACTGCCACTGCCACCACCTCCACCAACACAAACAAAATAAATATGAAGTGGATATGTTACATTTCTGCTCCACAGTTCTTCAGCTTTTGCTTGAGAGCCTCGCTGCCAAGAAAGAAAAAAAATGCCTGGAGAAGATGCAAAGCAATCGACTGAGTCAGAGGTCTGTTCTTGTGTCTGCAGTCTG